GCCTGCTGTCCGGGCAATTCTCCACCTCCACCGTTGGGGGCGGGGGGAGGTTATTAACCAGACCCAAGTTAGAAGAAACAGCAGCTCCTCGCTTGGGGGCCAGCTTTGGTTTTTGCTTTTCTGCCACAGAACAGATCAGTAGCAGCTACATGAAACTGCTGGACTTGTGCGAGGCAACAGCCCCCTCGAGAGGGGCCTCAGACCACCAGCGATAAGAAGTCAGGCCTCTCTGCCCCCAACTTCGCTGGCTGGCGAAACACAGGGCAAGGTGGGAGCTGGTCGGCATCTTGCAGAGCCCAGGAGACACGAGGCCTCCGAACAGATACTTTGCTGCAAGAGCCGACACTTTTCCGGCCCTCGTGGAAACCGGGGCTCTTCTGGGGGAGTGCCGGCTGCCCCGCCTGCCCACAGATGGCTCCTGATGCGCGGCAGCCGTGGGCCACGTGGCCCAGCTGCTTCCCCGACCCTGAGGAGGAAGCAGAAGAGGGTGGGCGGCTTTGCAGGGGTGGGAAGCGGAGCTGCTTCGCCCTCTCCTGTCCTAGGACTGGTCTCTTGGCCCTGACCCGGAGAAAGACACCTGGGGCCGGGGATGGCAAGAGAAAAGGGGGGGGGAGTCTGGCTAGGCTGCAGCAGCCCCTCCTGGCCGCTTTTGCTGCGGATGGCCGGGCCTGGGAAAGGGTGGAAGGGCAGCCTCGCACCTCCCCTCCCCTCCGCCGCCTTCCTTCCACAGCCAGGAGCCGTGCACCGCTGGGCCTCGCTGCAGCCGGAGAGGCAGATGTCCCACGCCGAGTGCAGCCTGGGGGCCTGCAGGCGGCCTGGAGCCCCCGGTGCCCTGAGGGAGCGAGGGCTGGCACCATGCAGCTGAGGCGGTGGCTGTGGCCCAGGCCCGGGCCGGTCCACACACCGCAGAGGATGGGCCGGGCTCTCCCTCCACGGGGAAAGTGGGCCAGGGGACTGGAAAGGGGACTGGCCAGGAGGCCCCATTCGTTTAAGGGCAGGCTGGTGCCACCTTTGTCCAAACGGGAGCTATTTAAGGAAGCTCACAAGAGGATGAGGCTCTTGCAGATGAAAACAAGGTGACGCGGCTGTGAAAAGCCGGGTTTCACAGCCACAGCAGGACAACATGGAAGAAGCCACCGGAGCAAAGACGCACGGAGCCGAGCACCAGCCAGCCCTCTGCCGGCCAGGGAAGCCCGGGCAGGAGGTGCCGAAGCCGGGCCAGGCTGCAGGAGGCGTCCTGGGGCGCAGGTCCATCGCCGGCACCCTCTGCTTCAAGAAGGCAGGCGGGCACCCAGAGAAGGCCGCCTGGGAGCCCCACGGCAGCAGCAAGGACGGGCACCTGATCGCTTCCCTGGTTCTGGGCAGGCGCTGGAGACCTGGCGAGCAGCCGGGGAGCAGCTCCAGCTGCTCTGTGCCGGACAGAGAGGCGACCGAACGCTCCGCCTCCGCACGGCTCCCTTCCCGGAACGGCTCTCAGAGCTCAGACCTGGCGCTGCCCGAGTGGCCAGCCTCGGGGCTGGGCAGGCGAGCCGGGCAGCGGGCGGAGGGGCCCCGGCCATCCGCTCCGCACACTCAGGCCGTGGGCTGCAAAGTCTCACTCTGGCAGGCCTTCTGCACCGGAGTCCGGTGCTCACGCATCCGCTTTGTGCCGGCCTTGGCGCTGCCGGGCTCGGCTGGGACATAAGTAACCCGGAATCCATAAATAAGCAAATACATGGGTGAATATTTGCCCCCCCTCAACCAATTCACCCAAGCAGGCTGGTGGGTGGTGGTGGCCGAGTGAGAGCGACACAGGAGGGACCCCCCGAACCTCCCTGCGCTGGGGGGGCCATGCGCAGCAACAGCTGCCCTGCTGGGCTGGCAGGGGACTCTGGGTTCAACCCACGGCCATGTCTCGGAGGGCAGGCAGGAGCTCCAGCCGGGACCCACCTCCCGGGCCAGGTGGAGGCGCAGGCCCTGGCTCGCTGCAAGCGGCCTCCTTCACGCCTGTGCAGGTACCGGCTGTGCACAGGCGGGCTGGCCCTAAATTTAACTCCCACAATAAATAATCAAACAGGAGAAGCAGCTCTCCAGCTCGACTCCTGGAGGACGCAGCAGTTAGCAAAAGAGCTGCAAAGCTGCTGACCTGGCACCGGTTGAAGTGCTGCGATTATTACAAGAAAACGTTTAAATGTGCCCTGGGCTCGGAGGAAAAGCGGCGGTGGCGAATTCCGCACCGCTTTAAGCCGATGACGGATTAGAGCCCGGCTCACACGGCTCGGCTGCCTCGGCCTCCGGCTGCGGGCGGGAGAAGTGTGAAAGTGTGCCATAAGCACTTGGCCCCGGCAGCCTCGAGACCGGGCTAAAAATACAAAGCTGACCCCGTTCGGAAACCAGCGGCTGGTACCAGGAGCGGCCGAGGCCTGGCAGCCACGTCCACGTCCCTTCGGCTTGAAGGGCGGCTCTCCTGGGCGGGTGTCCTTGCCGGGAGGTGCCCCCTCTCCCGGAGAGCCGCACGGTGAGCGGGCGGCTGCGGGAGGGCGCTCCTGGGGCGGGCAGCACACTCGCCAGGCGCAGGCGGGGGGCGCTTCAGGCGCCTGGAGGGGCCAAACAGGAGCAGCTTGGGGGGATGGCAGCCCCTGCCCCAGCAGAGGGGCACCTTTGCCAGGCCACTGAGGGGTCGCGACTGAGTGTGACGGCACCTGCCACGGGGCCCCCTCGGGCACCAAAGGGGGCACGGCATGAGCGGTGCTGGTGGGGGTGCCCATCCCTGTGCCCGGCTCTGGCCTCATGAGCGGGAGCCCCCCCTGCCTGCTCAGCATCGCAAGCCCACCAGCCGCCCTGGTGCAACGGCACAGGAAGGGGGGTGCCCCGTGGGATGGCCAGGGTCAGGCGGGCCCTCCCAGCACTCCACCCCCACCCTCGGGCGCAACAGCCTTGCACACAGTGCTCGATCCAGAGGGCGCACGCTGCAGTGGGGCTGGCCAGACTCTGCGCCCCAGCCAGAGTGATGGGCAGGGATGGGCGGGCGCACAGATGCAGCGCTGGGAAGGAGCGGGCGCAAGGAGAGCCGCGAGCGGGCCCTGACATCGCCCGGCACCCCTCTGGGGCAGCCTGATGAGCCCCACACCGCCCCTCTCTCCCAGTGTCACAAGCACAGCCTTTCCTGTGGGAGCAGGCGGAGGTGGGGCTGACCCAACCCTGAGGGGGGAGCGACTGTTGGGGGGCTTTCCCCTGGAGAGACCTTTCTTTGGGGCAGGTGCTGCTGCCCTCTGCACGTTGCGAGCAGCTCGGCTGCTTCACTGGAGGGGGCGCAATTCCGCCCGACGCTGCCACGGCTGCCCGCTTTGCACGCTCCAGAAGGCTGGAATCACAGGCAAAGGACCGCAAGGATGGTATCTAGTTTGCAGGGGAAGCCATATGAGCAGAGACTGAGGGAGCGGGCCTTTTCAGCCTGAGAAGAGGAGACTCGGAGGGGATGTGTTGGCGACATACAGGTATGTGAGGGGGTGTCACACGGAGGTGGGGAGAGACCTGTTCTCCCCTGCAGAAGAAGGCAGGACGCGCTCCAATGGAGCCAAGCTCAGGGAACCCAGGTTGCATTTAGATGCCAGGAAGCACTTCCTGACAGTTAGGATCCTGAGGGTGTGGAATGGGCTTCCAGGCGGGTGGTTGAGGCCCCATCGGTGCGGGTGTTCAAGGATAGGCTGGACATCCACATGGTGGGCATGTCGTGAGCGGAGCCGGCTGGAGTTGGGGGTCAGACTAGATGGCCCGGGAGGTCCCCCTGACTCACTCTGTTTCTGTGTTTTTGCTGCACCCGAAGCATACAAGGTGCCCAACGGCACCGTGGGCAACACCGATCACAAGGGACGCCACTGTGCATTTGGCCGCAACCAAAGACTAACCACGCCGCATGCGATGCGTTTGCCTATTTCCTCTAACAGAACAGCAAGCCCACCTTCCAGTTCACACGGAGCAGAGCCCCAGCCCCCCGTCCCAGCAGGCCGAGCCGCAGCGGTCTCCTTGCCCCCCCCCCCCCCCACTGCCAGCCTCCTCCGGTGGAGAGCTGCCGGAGCAGCTGCAAGCCCTCGAGCTGCGGGGGATCTGGCCCTCGCCCGGCTGCTGCCGTGACCCCTCTGTGTGCGGGAAGTGTGCAAACAGAAGGGATGTGGCCAGCAGGCCTGCATTTGGCTCTCACACGGCATATTAGTCTAGATTACTGAGATATGAAATGCATCCTGTCTTTATTGAATTTTGACTGAATCAATTGATAGCTTTTGCAGAATGCTTTCGCCACCCAAGAATGGACGCAAGGTGATGTTTACGACGCGCTGCTCTGGGCACGGAGCGGCCCCTGCAGGAAGCAGCCTCCAAATAAACGGAACTAATTAAAACAGACGAGCACACAACTTGTCAGCATGCGGGAACAGGCCCGTGGCTGCAGCACGCCCCGGAGGCTGGAGGCCGGGGCGCCTGGCCTCGCCAGGGAGCCTCGGCCAGTCGTTCCACGGCCCCAGAGCAAACCAGCCTGGGCCCGCCTGGCCAGGCGATTTGCTGCGCCTTCCGCAGCCCCAGCAGCTGCCACCGCCTGCCCCACTTCTCACAGGCAGGCCCGGGGGGAGCGGATCCCCATCACCCCTTCTCCTGGCAGCAAATCGCGCAGCACAGAGGGGGCGGCGGATCAGGCAGCCAAGTGGGTCCCAGTGACCTCGCCACCCCCTGCCCGGAAGTGTGCCCGAGGCCTTTCCCGGGAGCCGGGCAGGCCGGCTGGCCGGGTACCCCATCCTGCCAAGGCCGCCTCTCGCGGCCCCGGGGGACTCCGCCAGTGCGGCAGTGGAGGGCCAGACCGGGACTGGCCTTGGCGAGCGGGGCACGGGCCGAGGGCCCGGCCGAGGACGTGGGTGGGCAGAAGCCCCCTTGAGGGCAGGCCACAGCTCGCGGCCCTCCGGCCCCGCCAGCGCCGGCCACACGGGTCCCGGCCGGGGGCAGAGTCGCGACGCGTGCAGGCGGCGGCCTACCTCGCGCTGCAGCACCAGCTCCTTGGTGAAGAGCGTGGCCTCCTCGCTGAAGGGCTCCCCCTCGTGGACGAGGCCGGGCAGGTTCCGCGCTCCTCGGGGGCACTCGATGCCTGCAGGGAGAGAGAGTGTGAGCCGGGCGCCCCCTGCACGGCCGCCCCGGGGCGCTCAAGGGGCTCGAACGTGCCGCAGGCGAGGCCCTGACCGTGCCCAGGCGGACCCGGGCAGCGGGAGGCGTCTCCGGAGGACAGACGGAACAACAGCAGGAGGGGAGGGAGCTGCTCCTGGGCCCCCCGGCACACAGGCCCCCCACCTCCTCCTGCAGGAGGCCCTGAAGCCCCTGGGGGCTGCAGGGGTGCGAAAGAGGGGGATCCGATCTGGCCTCTGAGCTCCCTGCTCGGAGGAGGGAGGGCCGAAGCAAAGCAGCCAGGGGCCCAGCCGCGGCACATGCACTCACCCACCGACACGGGGATGGGGCTGCGCGGCCCGTCGGGGGGCCCCCCCAAGATGCTCCCGGCCCCCGCACTCCTTGCCGCCCGGGCAGGGCAGGCCTGGGCTGGTGGGAGGTCTCCTGGCAGGCCCACGGGGGAACTGGGCACTGGACCAGCAGCCAACATGCAGCCCGCTTGACTCTGGCACAGTACAAATGTGGCCCGGCCCGGCCCGGGAGGGCCACCCGGGGCCCCACAAGCTGCTCCCCAGGCTGCAGCGGTCGCGAGCTGCCTGCCTTCCTTCGAACAAGCCCCAGTTGCAGGCCGTTCTCCTCACAAACGTTCTTTGCTGCCTCTCGGACAAGCCGCCCAGACCGGCTCTCCAAGCACGCGCAGAGCGGTTTGTTGAAAGCAGTCGAGTGATCGCTGATGAGAGCCCCCCTTATGAGCGTGCCTGGGCCTAGCCCCACGGGAGGGTAGGCGGGCCTCTCGCCTCCCCGGTTGCCTCGCCAGGGGGTGCAGCCCAGCTGCCCCATGTCTGGGAGCTTCCTGCCCCCAGTAGCCTCTCCCGCTGGCCGCATGTCCGTCCCATTCCCAGGATCCGCAAAGCATCCGCCCTCGAGCCCCTTGCCTCCGCCTCCCCCCCCGCTGCATCACAGGACCCTCAGCCACAGCCTGCCCCCACCCGCCCCACGGAGGCAGTCTGCATCTGTGAACCCCGGCTCCTGGCTGAGGAGGCCGGGAGAAGCTGCCCCAGCTTGTCTAGGCACCCTGGAATACAAGCGGCCGGAGCCCAGCGAGCGAGCCGTCCGAGCGAGCTGTCCGAGCGAGCGGAGCACAGGGTTCGATGGGAGAAGCCAAGGGGAAGGCCCCGGTGCGAGATGGAGCCGAACCCCAGCGGGGCGACCCCCACGACTGGGATTCAGCCACGGACGGGCGGGACTTGTCCAAGGAGAGCAGAAGCAACGGGCGGAGGGGTCGCACTGTGGCAGCCTCTGGGCTAAAGGACCACCACCCCACAGGGAGGTGTTGAAGGACAGCCCCGCTGAGGAAGCAGGCGGTTCTGGGACCCTGAGAGACAAGGTTACGTGGGCGCCTGTTTGCATTCCTCGAAATGTGCTAGAAAGGGGAGCTGTTTTTCCCTGTGCAGGGAGACCTTTCTCTGCAGAATGAGGCTTTTTCCACCCCACACCCGGTGGGCCTGACTGGCCGTGGCGGCGCCTGCAGGACTGCACCCCGCCTTTGTGGAACACCCTTTGGCCCCGCTGCCCTTCCAAAGGCAGATGGATGCCCCCCCGAGGGGGAAGGACAAGCTGAAGGTGCCGGATGGCTGCTTGCATGGACGGCAACAGCGTGGGGCGAAAGCGTTCGCATCTCCAGGGCCTGGAAGACACCTGGGGCCCCTTTTGTGCCACTGGCACTGCCCGGCCGAGGGGGCCCTGCAGAGCGCCACAAGGCAGGCGGGAAGGGGGCACGCCTGGCCCCCTCCGTCTGCCAGTCAAGGCGAGGCAGCACTCTGAGCTGACACGATGCTGGATGCATGGGGCTCACGCCTGCCATCGGGGCAGGAAGGAGGTTGTGGGGCAGCAGGGTAGAGTCTCTTGGCCTCGGCACCGGCACAGGTGGCAGCCAGATCGAGGCACACTCCATGCAGCCATCAATCGCTGGCGTGAGGGGAGGCCACGGAGGGACAGGGCAAGCCTGGCGGCAAAGGGCAGCTGGAGGGGACGGCTGCCCCCAGCGGGCACACGGGCCAGAGTTCCACAGGGGCTGCTTGGGACACCACTGCCTGCCAGGGCTGCTGCGGCTCAGCTCAGGTTGCTTCTGGACACAGAACCGACTGCATGAACGAGAAAAGCAGCTGCTACCGAAAGAGCTGAGCGGGTCCCACCGGTGGCGCGCCACCCAGCCTGCAGCTGCGCGTCCCAGCCCTCGCCAACGGTGACCGGACGGCACGAGGCTCAATGGAAGTGGTCCGGCACACGCCCAGTGGCACTCTTCAGCAGCACCGCGTGGGTGCAGGGAGGGCCGTCTTCCCTGGAAGGAGTTTGAGGCGTGGGGCCCACTGTGGCTTGCGCACGCCCCAACAACTTTGTGGGACAGGAAGGCAAAAGGGGGGAAATGAAGAGCAGTCTTCGCTCCAGCCTGAGCTCTCCTTTCCTGTCCGAGCGTGGAAGAGCCCCTCCTGCGCAGGGGCCGTCGCGGCAAACGCCCCGAGGAGCTGCCCTCTCTCCCCACCGCCCGTGTCGGCACAGAGGGCGCCCAATCAAATTGATCCGCGGGGATTTAGGGCAGGCCACGGCCGCGGGCAAACTGCAAGCGAGAAGCCAGAAAGGGAGCAGTCAAAGGCGCCGGTGCTTGGGGCGAGCAAAGCTAAGTGAGCTGGAGCGGGCGCTTTGCTCAGAGGGGCGCGACGTGCTTCACTCCGGAAATGAAAAGCTGGGAAGGAGCCGAGCGGCTCTGATCCACGGCAAGAGGGCAAAGCCCAACCAGACCACACCAGGCAGAGCTTTTAGCGAGCTGGGCAACCAAACCCTCCTTCACATCCACGTGCCAAGAGCTGGTGCGGAGGAAGAAGAAAGCGCACGCACTTGTGTGCAGGCGCTCCAGAGGAAATGGGTGGCCAGCACCGCGGGGGGAGCTGCGGAGGGCCGGAGGCAGAGGGTTGGGGAAAATTGGGCACAGGGGTCAGACACGAAGCAGAAGGAGCCACATGCCGTGACGCTGACGATCTTTCCCTGTAACACGTCTGTCAGGCAGCCAACCAGAAAACGGTCAGCCCTGGCACCGCCGGACAGCCAAAATTGGATCACACTACCTAATTTGCAGTAGAAGTGGGAGAGGCTGTGCTCTTCCTGCCACAACCAGACCAGGTGCAGATTGTGGTAGTGCCCAGGAACTGCTAATATCAAAATCAGCATAAAACCAGAGAAGGCCACTGACAGAAGCACAGTGACAAAATACAGCTTAAACACCATTCCTGAGAAATCTAAAGTCCATGTTAGACAAGATTTCTGTTCGCGAACTCAACCATGAAGCAAAAAACTGTGGATTGAAACCAGAGGCAATCCTGGGGAAGAACGCAAGATGACCTCCCTGCAGCAAAGCATTTCTGGAGCAAAGAAAAAAGGGCTGAGATGGAAGAAACGCTCACAATTGCCAATGACAAGCAAGAGGCAAAGTCAAAGGGGGCAGAAACACAGTCGGAGCCCTGAGTGCAGCTCTCCAGTGACCATCACGTGGAGAGAGCGGCCCGAGCGAAGAGATGGGAGGCAGAGGAGGAAAAGCAGGAGGCTTCTTCCGGAAGATCCAAGATACCAAAGGGAGACCCCAGTTCGGGTTAGGAGTACGCCCAAAAGCAGACCAACGGGCGGGTGCCGGCTGGATGGCACGGGGACCACTCACGGCACAACTGCAGTGAGAGCAGGAAAGGCGTTTCCCCTTCGAATCCGCCTCCGTGCAGGCCAGCAGCTGCCCTGCCTGGGGCAGACGCGCCCTCCCCCGGCGGGGCCTCTCCCGCGGCAGCAATGGGGCGCAGCCCGAGGGGACACCCCCACCAAGCCCCGTGGGCAAAGTGCCAGGCACATGAGGGCCACGGTGAGCGGCTGTGTGCTGGGGG